AATTTTGTGAGCAACTATACAGGGTGATTTATAACATACGGAGCAAACTAAAAGAGGTTAAACTGAAGAGATTTTTTTAATAATGTTTTGTTAAAAACTTAATAGTTACATAGATATCGCATGTTAATTTTTTAAATAATTTAACGTCCTTTTTTGAGAACCGCTGATATTCATTAAAGAATAAATAAAATACTTGTCCGTTGTTAAGTAACCAAATCAACTGGATTGGCAGCAATAAAAACATGGTATCAGCGGTTCTCAATAAACAAACACCACGGTTTGAGCGTTTTAACAAATTTTTAAATAGCCGTAACTGCTATATTATAAAGATTTTATTATTTTTGTTAATTATGCATTGTTTAAGTAACCCCGAAATATTCGTTGTTTGAATTTAAACGTAGCGTAATACCGTATATGGTAAGAAATGCTCAGCCATTAATTCAACTTTAACGTTCTATATCTTTGTGATTATTAAGTTGTGGTCAAAACATTATTAAGAAAATATCTATACTCCTAGTACCCTTTTAGTCTGCTCCGTATGTTATAAATCACCCTGTATATTCAACATACATAATATACAGGGTGTGTCAAATGTCTGGAATATAGCCAATAACTTCGCCATTTGTGGTTTTAAAGAAAAATGTTTCAAATACAAGTTTCTTCATTAATCGTGGCGCATTTTTTAGCGATATTTGCTTGTTTGTATTGTTTTTTGTTTCGTTGCTATGGCAACCAAAATTGTTATTTTAAATGAGACGCATATGTTTTTTTAGCATACTTTGATATAGGACAAATCCCTCTATGCGATGAACATATCAAATCATACGGTTGTATAAGAAAAAAATGCGTTTTCTGAAAATATTAAATCAGCAAGTTACAATCAAAGTAATCGCCGAAATAACGCCGTTGACAGCTTTAAATGTCAAAAGAATAACAGTTTCAACAATTTTGAAAAATTAATAATGTATGGGTCGATCGATTAATTGCGCCATATTTGTTTAAACTATCAATTTTTTGACATTTAAAGCTGTCAACGGCGTTATTTCGGCGCCTACTTTGATTGTAATTTGCTGATTTAACATTTTCAGAGAACGCATTTTTTCGAGATTTTTTTCTTATACAACCATATGATTTGATATGTTTATCGCGTAGAGGAAGTTACCTTCTATCAAAATATGTAAAAAAAAACATATGCATCCCATTTAAAATAACAACGTTGGTTGTCACAATTAATAAAGAATTTTACATTTAAAACATTTTTCTTTGAAACCACAAATGGCGAAGTTATTGGCAATATTCCAGATATTTGACACACCCTGTATAATATATTTAGTAGTACTTCGAATTTTTTTAAAAATTTCCACGACACCTAAGATGATTCTTTTTATTGAATATACGATAGTAAATAATACACACATCGGTCATCGTACGGATGAAGCGATAATCTTTCTTTCCGATCTATCGATATACGGAATGTTACGCACGTGAAGCCCTTTAATTTCAAGGGCACGATAACGATAACTCGTTATTTTATTTTCCTTCGTCCAATACTCCGACAAATCCGTTGGCAACAATATACTATAATAATAGATGTGACACAATGACGTTATTTTCCCGGTTTTTGTTACCGGCGGCATCTGCTTTCTCCGCGTTGAAATACTATACCCGGCTTCGTTATTCTTTTTCTTGATAAACGAATAATATTATTCACCAAAGAAAAAATACTATTGATCGAAAAAACCGAAAAAGCAAAGTGAAATGGGAATTCTATTAGTATTTTGGAAAAGTTTTTATGCGATTAGTGTTTAATACCATAGACACATACATATAACGGGTAGTTAAAATCGTGTTATATAAACTTTGTTAATGGGTTGTTTCAGAATCCAGTACTAAAATGGATTAATGAAGATGATTTTACTGAAATACATATAACCCTACTTTTATTACCAACTCAACTCATAAATTAAGAAAAAATAAAACAGAAACTTGATCTTTAGCTGTATATTTTTTTAACGCATATAAATCTTTTGCTTTGTTCATCATTAATTTATCAACAATACCAAATATCTGCTCGTTGTTATTATTTAAATACTACTATTATTTAATTTTAGATCAAACGCTGTTCAAAAAACAACTTTATCATCGTTTCATAAAATAAAATATTTAATAAATCGGAATTTTTACAAAAATCGAAAAAAATCTGACTTGTTGAATTGAAACGTGTTAATTAAACTACCATACGTCTCTCAAAACGGCTAAACCCGAATGTTTCTAGTTCTAGGTCTAATGTTAGTTGTAGTAACAGTTAACACTAGACTTAGAACTAGAAGCATTCGGGTTTAGCCGCACGTCTCTCCAGACGGCTAAACCCGAATGATTCTAGTTCTTGTATTAGTTCTAGTGATAGTACTAGTGCAATACTAGAGCTAACACTAGACGAAGAACTAGAAACATTGGGATTTAGCCGCATGTCTCTCCAGACGGCTAAACACGAATGATTCTAGTTCTTGTATTAGTTCTAGTGATAGTGTTAGTGCAATACTAGAACTAACACAAGCCGAAGAACTAGAAACATTCGGATTTAGCCGCACGTCTTTCAAGGCGGCTAAACCCGAATGATTCTAGTTTTTGGTCTTGTGTTAGTTCTAGTTTTAGTTCAATAAAAATATACAACAACCTGGTGCTGAATAACAGCTAAAATTTGAACTAACAGTAGCACTAGAACTAGAAACATTCGGGTTTAGCCGCCTTGAGAGACGTGCGGCTAAATCCGAACGTTTCTAGTTCTAAGTCTAGTGTTAATTTAATTAACACCGTCATTGAAAGCCTTTGTAGTTCTAAGATTTGAAGATGTTTTAAATATTGTGATACCACAATGACAAAATCAATCCATATGGTGACATTGGTTATAGTGATAGTTCTAGCTTTAGTTTAATGAACGAAAATTATTCTATTCTGCTATAATGGTAATTTACCTAATTTCTGACTGATAATATCTCTTGTATCTTATCTTACATGCAGTAAAAAATGTGCGTACCCGAAATAGGAAAGAAACGATTTATCATAGACAAAAAATTGAGCGTAACTCACGCAAATATATAACTTTTTCTAACTAATTTAGGCCCACTTTTACCATCCTCCTGATAAACTATCTAGAGGATAGTTGCCATGGTTACGGCGGTTTTAAGCGTTCTCATTGGCTAAGAGCTGGATTTATCTATCGGATAAATTTATCAAGAGGTGGTAAAAGTGAGCCTTAGTACACTTTTCAATTTATTTATTTTTATGTGTTTAATTTTCAATAAAATAGTTAATATATTGAGTCAATCTGTTGCATTAAATCGGGACACATGGGGTCTCGACCTTTATCGCTCATTAATTCTGTTTATCGGACTGTAGCTCGATCGACCGACTCTCTCTTAATCTCCAGTACATGTATCTTGTATTTTATTCTCGGCGAACGATCGGTTTTGTCAAAACACGAAACGGATTATTTACACCAACGCATAATTACTCAGCTTTAAAAAATTTCCGTCTCCTAGGGTTATCTAATTTTTTTTTGTAAGGAGTTATCTCCCGCAAATCCCAGAAGAGGTCTTTACATGCGATTAATTTTCTTTTTTGTAGACTTCCACTCAATTATATCATCAGTTTTAAGTTTCAATTATATCAGCACGTGGTCGTTATAATTATTTACTAACGTATTTTTGTTAGTTAGTAGATCTTATCAGTTTTATTTAATTTTTTTGACATAGAACACTTTTGGCTGTGAAAAGTATTGTGAAACTGTTAAAAAACTACCCAGGAACTTGAACTTTTCGTTCTTGGTCCATAAACGTGAGGATTTATTGTCCCATTGTGAATCAGAACGTGTAAAGTGTAAAGGGGCAATTCGCAAAAGCTCGCTTACATTGGAACGTACAAAAGGTGCATCTCGTGATTCTCATGCACATGTGACGCCAAATTGAAATTGATTCCTTTTGTCAAATTGAAATTTTCCCCTGGTGTACATTCTAGTTTTATTATTTAAAGAGTGCAATAATTAAGATTGTTACTATTCGGTATTTTTAAACAAAATTTATCACATTTAAATTTCCTGCATAGCTCGAGTGTTGTTCTAATTTAACAAACTCTGCAAAAAAGTTCTATTTGTAGCAATTCAATTTATTTTTCAAATAAAAACTAAATGTTCAGTAACAAATCGATATTGTCTCTTATAAATGAGCAGATTTCCAATAAAACCCGCATCACTGTCAGTTATTTTAACACCATCAACAGAATTTCGAAAATGTGAGATTAAATTCTTAAATAAAACTTTTTTATTAAAATTTTTTCTAAAATTGTTGAGGTTGGGTTACGAAACAAAATCTGTTATATATCATCACTTTGTATCTAAACAAAATAAATAAATACCATAAATTTATTTACATTAATTAAAAATTTTTATTTTCCATGTTATATTTGTGTGTTATTGAATATTGATAAGCAATAAATTTTACGAAATGGTAATTTATTATGCAAATTTGAGTCAATGGGCGTAACGTGATGTGGTATTAAATACAGGAACAGACGACGATTATTTATTGGGTATTGATCTTGGATTACAATATGCAATGTTTAATGGGTGACTCTCAAGTTGGGTCATATTTTAAAAAAGTCAATTCCCGAATTTAATCTGAAGATTCGCGAGATAATGTTCAAGATGATGCCACCAATGTTGCTAAATAAATGTTGCTCCGTACTAAAATTTCAGTAAAATCCCCTTTATTTTGTGCCGTTATAATTTACGACTTTAATCGGTGAAAGTCAACTAAAACTTTTCCCTTGATGAATAATGGTTTTTATAACCTGACTATTTTTTCAAGTGATATATTATCCCCGGAGAAAAGCTTCTATAAAATAAACTTGAAGCAACAATCTCTTAGGAATACGCGATGTATCAAAATAAATAATGATACATATCACGTATTAAGTAAAAAGTAATAAAGAAAATCACTTACGTTGTAAAAGTTTGATGTTAATAAAGTAAAATCCTTGGATTAACCGATAAAATAATAAAATCCTATGTAATAAATTAATCACCACGATTAAGAAATTAATGCTCTAATGCATTTACACGTTTTTTAATAATTCAATTAACACTTTAGCACTTTAAATGTTTAAAGTAGCGAAAAGTGATCGTAAGATTCAAATAACCACAAGTAAACTGTCGTTTAGGTATCAGACGATTGACCTTATAGGTCAACCCCTTCTCTCTAATCACAGTCTACATATTTTTTTCGTTTTAATTTTGAAAATAAAATTTAAAAAAATAAACAAACCGAACTCGAACTCTTTCACGCAATCGTACACAAATAATCTCTAAAAATCCAAATTGAACTCGAAGGCGGTAACTATAAATAAAAAACAGAAAAAAAATTATCTTTTTTATCAAAAATCGTAAAAACGTTTTGGAATTAGCCAACAACTTTTATCATAATAAATTAGTGACTTTTTTATACGAGTACAGATATCACTTAATGATGATGAAGCAAAAAAGCGGATTAATTAATTATGGGGAGGTGGTTGTAGATTTGAATTCGTGTAAATTATGTTAAATTACGTTCATATAACCCACCGAAATCTGCGGATTTAGCTGAAAGCGAATAAATATTAGGGCAATCCTCAGATTAACTACGATTTAGACACGTTAATTTATGTACAGAACTGACCAAATTTATACAGTTGTAATTGTAGCCTCGTAAGCTGTTTTATTCAAAAAGTAATCTTAGAATTGATTAAATTGATAAATTGTCGCCAATTTTGTTTTTCCAATATATATTTCTTATACATAGTAAATCGAATATAGATTTTCTAATTATACAGGTAAATATGGAATATAGCTAGTATACAGTGAATTTCACTTAAAATGCAATATACAAAAATATATTTCCATAAAAACCAGGGCGTACCTACTTAGTTTGTTCCACATAAAATGCAACATGTCTGAATGTTTCTAGTTCTAGGTCTAATATTAGTTCTAGATCAGTGGTATGTAACGCTAGTTAACATAAGATATAAGCAGGAGATTTTTTCCTCAATCCCGTTAGCACTTTTGAAGGATAATTATTATTCTCAGGAAGGACTGTGGGCAATAAAATCGCAATTAATTGATTCACCAATATTTCGCATCTATTTTCGACGCTTCCTCAGGGTGAGTTCGTACTAAGAAATACAAAGTAAATAAAGCTACAAATTACTTACAATTGCACTAAATTAGCGAAAAGTTTAAACATTGTCAAGGAAACCACGTGTAAAATTTGAGTTAAGTGGCATGACTTACCACGTGGGTTAACTCTGAGTGAGTGAGATTAACGGTTAACCGTTGACAAGTAACAGTCGAAAATAGATGCGAAATATTGGTGAATCAATTAATTGCGATTTTATTGCCCACAATCCTTCCTGAGAATAATAATTATCCTATAAGACATTTTTTACATATTTTCAGGTTACATATTTTTATTGAAATAAAACTAGAACTAACACTAGATCTAGAACTAGAAAATATCGGGTTTAGCCGTGCGTGTGAAGACTGAAGAATGTTTCTAATTCTAGGTCTAGTGTTAGTTCTAGTTTTACACTAGCACTGTCACTAGAACTAACACAAGACCTAGAACTAGAATCATTCGGGTTTAGCCGTCTTGAGAGACGTGTCTGTACTATTAAGCTATGTTGTATTTTATGTGGGACAGAGCAAGTGCATAGTAATTTCGTAACTATGGTTACTACACTATAGTGGAAGTTAAATGAAATTCCCGGTACACGACAAAGTTTCCTGGTTAATTATGGCGCATATTCTGGCTATGTTTGTTTGTTTGTGTTGTTCTTAGTTTCGTTGCTATGGTAACCAACATTGTTATCTCTAAATGGAATACATACAAGGTCAGAATCAAGCAGGACTGCTGCATCCATTGTTGTAACAACGTGCCGGCACACTACGTCACACCATTCGGCACGTTTTATTTTTTTAGACGTATTAATGTCTATCATATAACCTCTAAAAACATACCAACGCATAAAACGCAATGACAGTTAACTGGGCGTGGCAATTAATGTGACGTAGAGTGCGGACAACCAACCCATAGTGGACTACAGAACAACAATAGATGTAGCACTCCTGTTAGATGCTACTATCCTTGGGATACCTATGTACATAGATTTTTTTTGCGTATTTTGATAGGTAATATTTCATTCTATTCGATGGATATATCGCAGGCAAATGGTTCTTTCAGTTAAATAGCTTTTTCCAAGTCAGATACTATCTGCCTAGGCAAACAGTTTTATTCCATTTATTTCAGTCTAAATTCTACTTTCCTAGACAAATACCATATGGCTAAAATATTTTTAGGCAAATAGCTCTTTAAATCAACCCAACCCAACCCCAGGAATGCTTTATTTCTTTAAAAGAGATCTGCACATCACAGTCCCTGTTTTCTGGACAAGGGACGACAAAATGCCAGTGCCAGCCTTCGAAATTTCAGTGTAGTACAAAAAGATGTACTTGTTTAAAAAATAAGATGATGTGCAATGTAGATGCCATTCCAGCAACAATTGTCAAAACAAGTACATTTTTGTATTTAAGTCTTCAAGAAATAAATCGTTTATTTGTATTTTTATTAAACTTAATAAAAGTATATAAAACTGTGTTATGCATTTTTTGAAAATGATACGCAAATAATTTGACTCGTTTGACACTCATTAGTGACTTTAATTTAAGAAAAGTATTTTGATAACGACAGAAACTACTTTATTTTATTGTGAACAGGTATCTACTCTATATTGCATTGTATTGAAAAAATTGTATTTGCCTAAAACAAGCTTAGACACATACTATTTGTCTTCTCCAATAGTATTTGCCTAGACATTTAATGAGAAAACTGTAACGAACTACTGTTTGCCTAGGCAGACAGTATTTGAGTAGGAAAAAGCTATCTACCTGAAATAACCATTTGTCTGCAATAGATATATCACATCATCAGGTTTTATAAGAAAAAATATTTACAGAAAAATTCAATTTTCTAAAAATATTTAATCAGCAAATTAAAATCAAAGTAGAAACTGAAATGACACCATTAAACGTCAAAAAATTGTTAGTTACAACTGCATATTATGGCGTAATTAAGCGAACAACAACGAAATGAAGTTTTTATGATGTACGGCTACTGCGCGGCGATAGAAAACGTACTCAAAGTGAACTTTGTGTACTCTTTAATAATATTTACCAAGGTACAGAAATTTTACAATTTTGGACTCGGTAGGTACAATATCTTAAAGAAATTCTTTAACACCGGAAGCGTTAGAAAAGTGAACGGCCTAAAACAGCCGCAGATGACGACACCAAATTCATTGTGCTTGACAACCTCAAAATTGCCTAAAAAAGTAACCAGGAAACTTTTATTTAAAACATTTTTCATTTAAATTACAAGTGACGTATATACCAGCTATATTGCATATTTTTGTTACACCCTGTATAATAAAAAATAATTGACGTTTAAAAATGTCAAAATTAATTTTTGTTGTCAATTTAAATTTAATAAAATAACTATTAAATTCGTTTTATAACATTTTTAAAATGGAATCAAGTTAAATTTTAAATAGATAAATAATAAAATCATTTTTTTAACTATTCTTTAAGGTAAATCTATGAAATAAATTAATTGAATTATGCGCGATGTTCATACAGATTAAATTGACAGTACAAAATGTCAAAAAGTGATTTATTTTGTTAATTTTGAGGAAAATTTAATTAATTTATGTAGCTTTAAAAATTACGTTTAGAAAGATTTAAATTTGAATTAATGGTTTTTATTGTAACGTAATATTTACAATTACATACTGGATATAGATGAATTTAAGCCAATTTCAAAATCAACCAACATCCAAATTTAACTGTGGGTTCGAACTAATTGTGAATTACTGCGGACTGTTAACAATACCAAATGCAATTTGCGATGCAAATTAGTTCAAGTAACATTTACTCGGTAAAGTAAACCCTCCCCAAGATACTTTTCTATTAATTTAAGCCGATTTCTATTAATGTAACCAAACATTTATTAAACATCAAACGTAATTTGCCAATTAAACTTTTATTTACTAAAACATTTTTAACCTTTCAATACGATTGACGCGATATTTTAGCAAGATTAACATAATTTTTTTAATTAAAAATAGAAATCATTTCGTGAATTAATTTATTCTCATAAACACCTTAACTTTTATGTACAATTTCATTTTTACCACAAATAGAACTAAATAATTCAACTTTAGCTTCTTCTGTGTAACTTCCTTCATCAATAGGAGCCATAAAATTAACTAATTTCGAATGAACTGTATATCTTATTTTCCTCCCTTTTGTAGCTCTTGTATCGATCTTTCGTTTCATTTTACTCCTTAAATTTTGCAACTGAATCCATTGTCGCCCTAATTGTACGGGATCAGTTAAATCAGCCGATTTCACTTCAATAAGTTCCCTTAAAAGTTGATGGTAAAAATCATCATCATCAAAAATTTCTGGATTCAATTCTTGCTGTTTTTCTTCATCAGATTTTTCATTTTCAGTTTGTTCTGAATCTTTTTCTCCTATTATTTCATAATTAGATCGTTTGGTTTGAGTTCGCTTAATTAATCTTGATCTGTCTGTTAAAATATGATTAATTTGATTTAAAACTGAGTGTTGTAAATCCGATTTTGATCCAATTATGGTTTTATCATTCCATTTTTGAATTGTTGAGTTACGATAATCTTGATAATTTTTATGTCTTTCATCAAGAATTTTTTCATAATCTAATAGTTTAACTCGTTTTTTAGGGGGTTTAATTTCATCTTCACTTTCATTAGTGTCTGATTCAACATCAGAATCACTTGGAATTTCTTCATCACTTTCCTCTGATTTTGATGCACTTTTTGCAGGTTTCAATAAATTTTTCGTATCAGGATATTTTTTCCAAACTAAACTTTGTAACTCTAATAATTTATTTAAAGTATTACTTAATGAGTTTTTAGTTTCATTTACTTTTTTCTTAAAATCTGTATGTTCAAGAATTTGATTATAAGTTTCTTTTTGTGGCATTTTATTTGAAGCTACAAGACATTTTTGCATTTGTATTCTCATTTCTAATAAATTTTCCCAAATATTTAATTGAGTTCTTATGCACAAACCCTTTTTTAATTGCCCCGAAACATTTTCTTCTTTAATATGTTTAAAATTATGATCATCACCATCAATACTTATTCCTTCTTCATCCTCACTTTCATCTTTATCATCCTCACCATCATCACTATTATAATCTTCTTCATTTTCATCATTTTCACCACTATCTTCTTCTTCATCAACATCATCATCACCACTTCCTGAATCATGTCCGATTTCACTTTCTGTATCAAATTCTTCATCAGATTCTTTAAAGTTCTTACGATTTCCTTTCTTCCCGGAATATTTTGCATCTACATCTTCAAGAATTTCAACGTTTTTCTTACGAAAGCGACTTAAAATAACATCCTCTGTATCATCATCATCTTCAAGAGCCCCCTCTGTGACTTTCGCGGTTTCTTCGTTAATTTCATCTTCCGGGTCAAAAGACGCTGGTGTAGTACTTAACAGAGTCGATATTCTATCGGCTAAAGATTGGCTTTTATTCATTATCGTTGATTTTTAAATAAATCGTGGAAAATATAACCTCAAAAAACTTTGTGTCAATTTATAACACGTGTGAAGTATGACATGTTAAAATGTTTAAATTATTTTAAAATTCTTTTTATTAAGAAATTGTTAAAGTATATTTCTATTAAGATATTACTTAAATTTATTCATAAATATAAAAATAATATTAGAAATGTTGAAAATAATAAAAAAATAATACCCGTTTTTTTTTGTTTTACAGTTGCCGTCATGGTCTTATTTCAAATCCAAATCAATTTTTTGATAAAGGTAAGCATTTTTCATCATTAATAACATAGAAAGAGAATTCCTTGGATTTATTAAGTTTATTAAAGAAGTAATAATAGGTAGGAATTGATAATAAGAGTAATTTGTACTTAGTATTTAGGTAATACTGTGCGTAATCTTTACTTTTACATGGCAGTGAAAAAGAATTACTACATCATAAAAAATAAATATGAAATAGATATTTTAGGAATTACATCTTAAAAAATGGTAATTAAAGGTAATAATTGCAAAGGTAATAAATTTAAATAGCGCCCTTTATGGAATTTTGTTTTTTGCTAAAAGATGGCGCTACTTATTACTTAATATTTTTTAACACAACCTCATTTTTATACAAATTTATCCCAATTCTTTCAATTTCTTTTTCATATACATATCTAATTGGGAATAATCCAATAAAGTATTTTGAACCATTTCTTGTAAAATAGCTGGCCATTGTTGATCGAGAAGTCGAAGCTTTTTAATAGCATTACAAGTCAAGTCAATTATGGAACTGCAATATATTTTCGCTTTTTGTCGAGATAACAAACATTCCTAAAATATATATTTATAAATCAAATATTTCAAGATGAAATAACTTACTTGTGGTACATTTCCTTTTTTCCATTGTAACGCTTCTTTACTTACAACACTTCGAAGTGCAGGATCAACTCCAAGCAACCATTTTTTAGCACTTTGTTCTTTAGTCTGAGATAAATCGATGTGAAGTCTTGTTAAAAGAGGCTGTAATAAAGGCTCTGGTAAAGACCATAAAACCAAATCACTTAAACTTTTATATTCTTCATTAGCTAATTTTATTTCTTCATCTTCAATCTAAAAAAAAAAATATCAACCCAAACAAAAAAAAAAATTTCAAAATTACCTTCTCTCCATTAATAATTTTTAAACCCCAATGAGATAACCTATAAATTGCGTAACTTCTCCAAGATGTTTTTTTAACAACCGGATTACCTTCTTCCCCAATATTTAAAGTAACCAATCCTTGAATTTCAGCTAAAGCATTTAATTGCCCAATAAATTGAATGTTGGTTTCTTGAAAATTAAAATTTTCCGCGTTTGGAAATCTCATTTTTATTTTACTCAAAATCGGCGTTATCCCGTTAAAATTAGCGTAATTAAAATTAATTGTCGTAACGTCATTAGCTTTACTTGGACTCCACGGCTTATCAATAAATCTTAATGCAGCTTGTCCGTAAACATTTAAATATCGACCACAAATTTCAATCAAATAATCACCACCTTGTTCTCGTTCTTTTGACGCAGCATTAACGGGAGATGACTTTTTTGGTTTTGCCGTAGCTGCCCTTACATTCGTTTTAGAATTGTGAACTAAACGTGAATTAGTAGCACTTTTTATACTTCTTGAAACACTTTTTGAACTACTTTTTGAAGATGGGTTTAAATCTGAATTACTTGGAATCGTTACGTTTGATATTGCCGTGTTTGTGGAGATGTTACTTGATGAATCTGTGTTTGATGATGATTTTGGGAGATTAATTTCTTTTATGTTGGGGGTGGGTTCTGGTTGTTTGATTGGATTTTCGTTACAATCGTTTTTAATTGATTCTTCAATACTTTTAGAATCACTTAAATTACTATCAGAATCGCTGTCAGAATGAGTACTATTTAATGAACTAACACTACTATCGATATTTGGACCAATACTAGATAAACTATTTGATGGTTTTATTACGTTTTGATTTTTTTGTTCCATTTTGTTAATAATTGGAACTAAAATTGGAGGTAACCGAAAAAATTCACCGCTATTCGAAGTATTTGACGACGAAGTATTTTGGGAATTATCAGTATCTTGAGAACCACTTCTTAACACCACCTTTTTTTCTTTTAATGCGGGAACTTTCGTTGCAACTTTCGATTTAATTTTTAAAACATTCCGATTTTCCGGTTTTGATAAACTGGTTAGAATAAAATCAGCATCCGGTTGTAATTTTTTAACAATTGATACGGAACAATTCGTTAAACATTTCGTTTGCGATCTTAACAATTCCCAATTTGTACGAGCATTCGAAATAACTTCTTCTCTACGTCCATTTAGTGATGCATTGCAAGACAAGTCCAAGAATGATTCACTTGAAGATTCCTTTTTACGCCTCCATATCATTGCAGCTTTCCGAACTTGTTCTGTAATTTGCATGGAATTCAAGCTGGTTAAAAGTGGCAAAAACGATATTAAAAATGATGCGCAATCTCCGTTTAGAAAAACCGGGTTGTTGTCGATAGAAATTTCTTTTATATTCGTTGATTTTATTATACTTGTCATATCTTCAACGTTCGTAACGTTGTTGTTACTTAAATAAAGTTTTATTAAGTTTGGTGTGGATCCAAATCCGAGTAATTTTTTAATTTTGTTTCGTCGCAAATTTAATTCTTGCAAAGAATTTAAACCTTGCAAATCATATTGGTTGATTATTTTTATTTGGTTTCCGGCCAAATTTAATACTTTTAATTCCGATAATGTTGATAAGTTTGTTACAGTTTGGATTTGATTACCGTGGAGATCTAAAACTTCAATTTTTAATAAATTTTCGAGACCTTCTATTTTTGTAATCCTAAAATTTAAAAAAAAAATGTTTACTAAAATTTTTTTGAGAAATACCAAAGAAATTGTTTAACTAGAAGCAGCATTGCCTATCTCCGCCTGTATGCGAGATTGAAGCCAACGTTCAAGAGTGTTTGTTTTGGTATTGGCGAATAGCAACAAATAACAATGAATAACAACAATTAACACAAGAAACTTCACAATATTACTCAAAATAATCTCATTAACGCACAATAAACTGTTTCAAATCGAATTTTGACACTTGGAAATGTCAAATCAAAACAGTTGGTTGCCATGGTTACGCACTGCTACTGCCATTTTCTATATCAAATGAATGGGAAATAATGAAACTTTAAATTAATTTTTCTCGAAAATTTTCTTATGTAACTGATATTAATATTTATTGTACATAATTCAGAAAAAAATCCTCTTTCAAATTCCGATATAAAAAATGGGGTATTCCATTTAAAAAAAACTTCCATCACGTCATAACTCGTTTAAAAATGGCGGAAAAAATTTAAAATATACCCCAAAAAATTGCAAAAAATTTAAATCTTTAGACCCGTTTCAGCGATTTTTTCATAATTGGTTTGTGATGATTTTATCGAATTTATCCGTTACTTTTGAAACGCACTTTATATCACTGTGTTGTATATTTTTATTGAATTAAAACTAGAACTAACACTAGACCTAGAAAGTTTCGGGTTTAGCCGTGCGTCTTCAGACCCACTTCGCACGTCTTCAAGACGGTTAAATCCGAATGATTCTAGTTCTAGGTCTTGTGTTAGCTCTAGTGATAGTGCAAAACTTAAGTGGAATTAGAGAATAGATCTAGGTTTACTGTTAGTTCCAGTTTTAATTGTTATTCAGCGTTAGATTGTGGTATATTTTTGTTGAACGTAACAGTACTAACACTAGAACTGGAAATATTCACCTTTTCCAAGCAAAACTTTTTCTTTGCAAAGCTACCCTAGCGTATACTATTAAGCTATGTTGCATTTTATGTGGAACAGTGCAAGTGCACAGTAGGTTCGTAGCTATGATTACTGTATTCATATATTGCGAGTTATACAGGTCGCTGGTATGCATGGAAACGGTCGGTTATCTCCTAAAGTAAGATAGCTAGCAAAAAATCTCAAGATACAAAAGTACCGTATTTTCTCGAATCTAATTCGCACCTAATTTTATATGCTCTAAAATCAAAGGCGGATTATAATCGGATGTGGATTACATTCACAAACTAACTTTTTTTACCATCATTGTAATTTTAAAATCGAGGTGCGGATAAGATACGAGAAAATACGGTATTACAATAAAGACAAATTAAGTATACAGGGTCAGCCAAAAAGTTATGACGAAACCAAGTTGTGTGTTCTTTAATAGAACATCCTATATATTATTCCATATTTGGGTTCATCTCGAAATTCTAAACAAAATTCATGTAACATATCGTAAATCTAAACTTAACCATTTTCAAGATATTCAACTTTGAAAATCACTCTTATAAATTACATACACAAAAGTAGTTTTATCGATTATGTTCATAATTCATCAAAGTACCTTTGAAGTTTTTCATCTCCATAGCAACGTAGTGACATAACATATGTCAAAAATAGTTTAAATTACGTCACTAATTAGATAAATTCGTAAATTTTTAAAAGCTCGATATTTGGAAAACGGTTAAGTGAAGGTCTATGATTCATGTAACACGAATTTTGTTTAGAATTTTGACATAAACTGAAATATGGAATAATATACAGGGTGTTATTAAAGAAAACGTAATTCGTCATAACTTTTTGACTGCCCCTGTATACTTAGTTTGTCTTTATTGTAATAAGATTAGGTTTTTATCCATTTCACCCTTTTTGATTATAATATGAAAGATCAAAGAACAAATTATACTCTGGTGATGACTTTTTTTTTAAATGTTTATTTTTCTAAACTAGTTTTGGGCACAAACCCTTCCTCAGTAGAATTAGAACGTCAAGTAGTACATTTTTAAGTTACATTTAAACACAAATTTGTATATAAATCAAAGTATAAAAACATTATATTCGACTGAATTTGATTTTACGGGAACAATAACGAAAACACAAAACTAAATCGATTTAGTTTAGAGAAATAAAGATTAAAAAAAAAAAAGTCATCACAGAGTATAATTTGTTCTTTGATCTTTCATATTATTTATTGTAATAGATTTTAACCCTAGGATGCATAAACGGCCCGGCGAGATTATAGTACTATAGTTATTTTATTGGTTAAGTATCCTAGGGTTAAAAAACATTAAATCTTTTGTATTTCAACATTTTTCGCCAGCTATCTTACTTTAGGAGATAACTGACCGTTTCCATACATATCAGCGACCCTGTATAAAATTCCTGGTACAAAAACAAGACACAATATTGAGAGAAGCAATATTATACACCACCTTCTGCTAACACATGTGAACAGAAACTGTCGTTATTGCACAATGTGACGCACAAACCCCATATACAATGCAATTAGTTGCGCAACTAATTTCAAACAATTTTGAATTTCTGCAACCAGTTGCGCAAAGCATCAACCAACACCATACACTACACAATTTTCGCAATACAGCGATTGTTGCGCAATTTATTTGGAGGTATATGGATCCTATTAGGAGAGAGTTGTTCTTTTATTAGGTTTCAGTAAAAAAGATTGGATTGCTCAGGAATACTTGGGTGGCTGGTTTCAACTTTTCGTGTTTATATGTGCTTCTAATTATACAATTTCTTTGAAAAATACGTTTTTTTAACCTATTTTTTCCTAAAAGTAGAACCCTAAGATTTTCCAAATTTTCCAAAAACCCAATTTTCTCCAGTTGATTATCATAAATATCTAAAAACACTAAAAACTGAAACATTTGCTCTTTAAAGCCTTCTAAAGTGTTGATTAAATTGTGCTGTAGCGAAAATAATCTTAATTTAGGCTCATTTTCTAATATAGGAATAACCGTTAATCCCCTTCTGTCCAAACAAACTCTATCTGGGTGTTTTTCCTTTTCTTTCTGATCCCTCGATACCTTAAAAGTGCTTCCTCTTTGTTGGACTTGTAACGATATGTTTTCAATAGATTCAACTTTATGGATGTTAACATTTTTATTTTTGGATGAAGATGATTTCAATGTATTTGTTAATGGTAAAGCTGGTCCTATCGTTAAGAAATCTTTTTCTTTATTGTGTTGTGCTGTGATTGCTCTAGTTTTGTCTGAGATTCTTGCAGAAGATTTATTTTGATTAATGTGTAATTTTCTTTTATCCTAAAACAAATCATTTAATTTTTGAAATAAAATTGTTACGGTTTAGATAAACTTACAAGTGTAGCTGCACTACTACTCGTTGGCATTTAAATAAGTCGAAAACACTCATTTGAATTAAAGATAATAATTCCATTTATGAATAAAATTTGAAGTTTAACGTGAATGTAAGATTTTATTCATGATTTAATTTATTAAGTATTAAAAATGAGTTTAAATAATTATTTTTAGAATTAATATGAAGTGTTGCGTGACTGTACACTCGAATTATGCAATAAACTGTTTTTTTAGCATTTTATTTCACGATGTTAGTGCCAAGAACGAAAATTTGACAGTAAATAAATTTTCAATTAGATAACTTAACCTATAAATATGACGTTGGACATAAATACAGTTTCCTGTAATTTAACATCAATATTATTTTTTAAATAATTCTTTAAAAACTTTCACTAAATTAATAATAACCCGCAAAGCTATACTTCGAATATAAAAAGGAAGATAACTAGTACTAGAAACATTCGGGTTTTATTTTACAATGTTTTATAAATTAGTAGACAGCACGGCGCGGTTACCACAAAAAAAAAATTAACAAATCAAAGTGATAATTAATAGTTGTTCCATCTAAAATATTTTTTTTATCTTAAACAATATTTTGCAATAAATATTTATATTTGTATCGATTCATTTACGATGACAAAAAAAAATGTCAAGTAAAATTCCAATTCTTTATTCTTTTCGTTTGTATATTTACATAGTGATTAATTTATTATAACAGTGCACCTTCAAGTTGAACTTTCACAAATGATGTCAACCGAAATACGCACGTTTTGTTCTTTAGAAACGATTATTTTCTTTCGACAAAAGAAATTTTGCCAAAGACGTAACTAAATTGTTAACACATCATTTTCTCGTTAAACATCTCACCCCTCCTTTAATTATTATTACCCGGTTGATGTATAAATTCAAGAAAAATTTTATTTTTAAGACATTAATTTTTAAATCCTTCATACTCCTTCATAAATATTATATTTAAAACGCACCGTAAGTTTTTAATAATAATTTAATTAATTTCCATTCTTAATTTTTTTTTTATTTATTCATTTAGAAAATGTCATCAACAAAAACAGCTTTAATTCTTTACACATTAATCATTATTAATTTTATTTATTTGAGTTCGTCTAAGTCAATTATTGGAACAACAAAGGATATTTTTACTAATAATTATAAGGATAACGAGTTAATTAGGACGAAAAGATCCCTATCCGATTTTGATGAAAGTATGGATACTGCGGAAACTGTTGTTTATATTCCTTACTTTAGTGCGAAGGGTCATAAATATAAAAGGAGAAGAATTAGTAGGCCCGTTTATTCTTATTATAATTGTTTTGGTTATGCTAGATAACAATTTTATATTGTATGTATTAATTATCGCTTAAAAATAAAAAGAAAACTATTTTTTAGAAATGCAAAATTTAAACCTTTATGAAAGTTATAAAGTTTAACCAGATGAAAACTAAACCTGGTAGTCTTGCAGAGTTAATACAATGAATAATCGATGAATCATGATCTTGGCATTCTATCGTTGAGAATTCTTGCTGTCTCTAGATATTTTTATCATTTTATTAAACATTCGGATTTAACCGCACGTCTCTTAAGACGGCAAAACCCGAATGATTCTAGGACTAGCGTTGAACAACAATTAAAACTAGAACTGACACTAGACCTAGAACTAAAAACATTCGGGTCTAGCCGCACGTCCCTCAAGACGACTAAACCTGAATGATTCTAGTTATAGGTCTTGTGTTAGTTCTAGTGATACTGCTAGTACAATACTAGAACTAACACTAGACCAAGAACTAGAAACATTCGGGTTTAGCCGTCTTGAGAGACGTGCGGCTAAACCAGAATGATTCTAGATCTAGGTCTTGTGTTAGTTCTAGTGATAGTGCTAGTGCAATACTAGAACTAACACTAGACCGAAAACTAAAAACATTCGGGTTTAGCGGCACGTCTCTTAAGATGGCTAAACTCGAATGATTCTAGTTCTAGGTCTTGTGTTAGTTCTAGTGCTAGTGCTAGTNATTTATTATCGCTTAAAAATAAAAAGAAAACTATTTTTTAGAAATGCAAAATTTAAACCTTTATGAAAGTTATAAAGTTTAACCAGATGAAAACTAAACCTGGTAGTCTTGCAGAGTTAATACAATGAATAATCGATGAATCATGATCTTGGCATTCTATCGTTGAGAATTCTTGCTGTTTCTAGATATTTTTATCATTTTATTAAACATTCGAATTTAACCGCACGTCTCTCAAGACGGCAAAACCCGAATGATTCTAGGTCTAGCGTTGAACAATTAAAACTAGAACTAACACTAGACCTAGAACTAAAAACATTCGGGTCTAGCTGCACGTCCCTCAAGTCTCTCTTCTAGTTTTAGGTCTAGTGTTAGTTCTAGTTTTGCACTAGCACTAGAACTAACACAAGACCTAGAACTAGAATCATTCGAGTTTAGCCATCTTAAGAGACGTGCGGCTAAACCAGAATGATTCTAGATCTAGGTCTTGTGTTAGTTCTAGTGATAGCGCTAGTGCAATACTAGAACTAACACTAGACCGAGAACTAAAAACATTCGGGTTTAGCGGCACGTCTCTTAAGATGGCTAAACTCGAATGATTCTAGTTCTAGGTCTTGTGTTAGTTCTAGTGCTAGTGCAAAACTAGAACTAACACTAGACCTAAAACTAGAAAAGAGACTTGAGGGACGTGCAGCTAGACCCGAATGTTTTTAGTTCTAGGTCTAGTGTTAGTTCTAGTTTTAATNTTTTCTAGAAGAGGAAAACCGCCTGGAAGCCAAAAAGTTTCGAGATGCTTTATTTGTGATGAAATTGGTTATATATTCGAGAAATTAAATACCCTGAATCTACAACTCCAAGGAGCAAACACACATATGTTGGATAGCAGTGATAAAGTTAGTGCATTCTGTAGAAATTTGGAGCTGTGGAGCAGAAATGTAAAACAAAAAAAACTAGAAATGTTTGCAAATGTGAATGAGTGTGTCAAAACATACAAGGAAGAAGAACAGTATGTGAAAGTTGTTTTTGTAACAATAGAAAGTCATTTAGCCATGTTGGCACAGAATTTTAAAAAGTATTTTCTTGCTGACGACAAATTGGTAGCAACTTACAAGTGGGTTAGGGATCCATTTCGAACTACTCCCGAAGGTCTCTCAACTGCAGAGGAAGAAATCTTCATAGACTTTACTGCAAGCGGCGAAATTTAGTAATAGAGAGAATTTAGTAATAAATCTCTCTTTGAATTTTGGGCGGGAATTTCGTATATTATTGCCATTTTCAACATCCTACCTTTGTGAAGCCGGATTTTCTGCGGTGGCTGCTTTAAAGACAAAATATAGGACTCGACTGAATATAGACCAAAGAACTGAGAGTGGCTATTTGTAATATGAAACCTTCTTTTGAAAAACTTTGCTGTGCGAGACAGGCCCAAGGGAGTCACTAATAATTATAATCATCACAGCTACTTTTAATTTAATACTGATAAGTCTATTATTAGTTTCATTTGGCATTTGACAGTACCTACTGATACAATCATATTTATAGTAATTTAATTAAATACATAGGTAGTAGTACGAGTGTATTAGTTTAAATGTGTACTGTACTTACTTAAATTTTTGGAATGTCAGAATGACTTTAATTTTTTATTAGTAATTATCTTTTTTTTTTCATTTTGATGTGTTGGCGCCCCCCATGTAGAATTATGACGCCCCCTAGGGGGGCGCGCCCCACAGGTTGAGAAACACTGGTCTAGTACAATGCATGCGTGAATCGGCTTCCTCTTGTCTGTGTTACTATTTTTAGTTTTTGTGTATTAATTTAAGTTGAAACGTCAGTGTGACATTGATTTCAAACATGATATAACCAAATTCCCCTCTAATCTAACCAATTATTACCAACTTCACACCAATTTGACAAGTACTGAATGAAAAACACAAAGTGTACTCATATACGAGAAAACTATTAATTTCCATACTTAGTCGACTCTGTATTGAACAAAAATGATTAATTCCTTTTAATCTCACTAACTTAAGCATCATTTCACTTTTGGACATTGTGACATTTGATTAAATTTTTGACATATGACATGACATTCTACTATTGACATGAACACGGTTTAATTTTTAGGTAATTAAATTCAATTTAAAAAGAAACCTTTGGTTTATTTAAATACTTTTTTAACAAATAAATAAAATATAAATTAATCATAAAAAAATCTTATAATAATAAACAATGAGACAAGAAACGTTTACAAGATCAAAAAAATTAAATATCAACAGCCATCATCTTTGACGAAAATTTTTTTAACATTCGTTAAACGAGACTATTGTATTTTCATTTTTGACCCATCTTCTATAACTTTCTCAGTTTCTTCACTTTTTAATTCGTCATTAACGAACTTTTTAATTTCGATGTCGTTCTTGTAATTTTCTTGAACATTTCTGGGAGATCTTCGTTTGAAGATTTTTTTCGTACGAAATAATGGAAAGAAAACCACATTTTCCGCCAAGTCTAAATCGGAAATGTTCTCGTTATCTCTTAACAAAGGTACGATATCAACCGATCTTGTTCTTCTCAATCGATATCCCAAAACTGTGTTAGCAGCTACATCCAAGTCTTCTGAAATAGGAGTTCTGAATTGTTCTTGAAGGATATATCTTTTTTCTCGCGTCATTTCCGGAATCGAACGTTTACTGATCCTCTCATTTGCTAATAATGGAAAATCATCTTGTCTAATTATTCCAGATAAGACAGATGATATAAAAGTTAATCCAATTAATATCGACGTGATGGGAATCATCTGGAAAGAATTAAAAAAATTATGAAAAAAAATCTTAACATAAAATTATTAAATATTAACTTACCTTAAATTATTATTAAAAATGAATCGGAAAAAAAATAAAGTGAATCTTCAGTGTGAATCGTTTGGAAGTAAATTTGAATATGTTAGGATTTTACACGTTTAAGCTTTTATATACCTGCGCGAACACTTACGCCAATCAGAAGAACCCACTAATTCTGGTTTGACGCTCACGAGATGTGTTAATCACACGTATAAACAATGTTCGAGAAGCGCGTACATTTTTTGCTTTTCAAAACGGTATAAATATATCCATAAATGGACACGAGATTTACGATGAGTCGAAATAAAAAAAATTATTTAGATTATTAATTTAATATAAATCAGGAAAATTCGTAAAAATTCAACGAAAATTTTAAAGTTTAAAAAGTTAGAGATATTTATAAATGTGTTAATTCGTATGAGACATGAAACTATGTAATTTTTTTTGTATTTTAAGTGAAATTTCTTAATTTGTTTAATGTTGATCTTGTGCGTCAATAGCGACAATGTGACAATATTGTTAACTAGAGGTTGATCTTAATTATATAGTGCGCTTTATGTCTAAATATAAATGTTGCGGAGATAGAAAATTATACGATGTTTTAGTTATTTCTACTTCCACAAAACGACTTTTTAATGATATTTGAGAGCAAAGAGAGCAATAAATTTCTATATCGCATTTGTTATTATTATATATTATGTATTTTTTATATCGTATAAGTGTATACGAGGTTATTCGGGAGGCTTTTGTTGTCCAACTTTGATTACCAGGTTTCCAAATGTCCAACATGATCTTTCTAGAGATGGAAAAATCTCGATTTTGAGAATTTTCTGAGAACAAGCTTTTAAATACAAATAGAGCTCAGCAAATTCAGTCTGACGGCTGCAACGTGGTAAAGTTCATATTTATGGGATTAATTACTATGGAGGACTTATTATACACTATATAGACTTATCTGGCAAAGTTGTCAAATCACTGCATTCAATCACTTCAATACTTGAAGAAGTAGAAGCAGTAGTTGGCAAGATCGTTTCCATTCCTGTCGTTTTTTGCGGGCTCCTCTCACAATGTCTTCAATATCGCATGTCTCTCTGATGTCCTCACTTCTTTTATGGCGTCTTTCTTTTATGTCGAATATGACTTCTTCCAGAAGGTGTGTTCTATTCATGGTCTCAGCGTCGTCATCTCCGCTATTCTGAGGATTTTTTTTGTGGTACCATTTTCTGTAATTGTCTTATTATACTTGTTGTGCCATATTATATCTCTTATGTAACCTGATATCAAAAAAAGATTCTTTCCAACTTTTTTCAAGTCTGTTATTGTTCCATCCATTATGAAAGTCAGTGTGTTATGTCGGTTTGTATAGGTACTCTGCGTGACTCATAACTTCGAGAAGTCTCACTTTATCAAAATGGTTTCGTAACTTCTGTCTTGTTATAAATATAGGGTCTATCGTTAACTTATTCGTCCTGAAGCCTCTAAATATCTATAACGACTTGGGTTTGGGGTATATACCATCTTATTTTTTAATTGTTGCTATAAGGCGTATAAGAGATTATATATTTTTTGTATTTACTTTATGTATTGAACTCTCCATACAATTCATTATACCCATATTTTTATTAAAATTAATAACCACGTGTGTAAGAAATTTAAGGAGATGATTTACCTTTACAAATATTTTCATTGTTCCATTTACATTCGATAATAGAATCTAATAGAGAAAACAAAGATAAAACCAAAACTTCCTAAACTCCTTTCAACAATTTTTCCTCTCACAAATAACATTCAAAAAGGTGATAATTTATAGATTTTGTATTAAATTTGAGGATTGTATTTTTGAAAATTTGTTATTTACTACATTTTTCTTTCAAATAAAAAGTTAGATTAAATCGAAGCTTATAAAACTATAAATATAATTAATGTAAATATATAAGTAAAATAAAAATAGAAAAGGCGCGAATTAACAGTGCCAACAAAGGAATAAACGTGCGTCTGTAGTAAAAGGGATTATTTACAATGAAGTTCTAAAAATATCTTATTCAGTCTTTTACTAAAAATACCGATATTAAATTAAAACAAAATGTTGATATGAATCACCAAAAACATTTAACTTTGTGTTGATTTTAACGTTTTCTTCTCAGAAATTAACACTGACTCATGTGATTTATCCTATTTTTCCGGGTTTTCTATTTTACCTGTTCAAATTCCTACGATAGAAAAGAAAACATTGTATTAATCATTCTTATTGATCTAGTACATATGAAGGTTAACGGAAAATAAGTAACTTCAAAATTATTTCTGTACATTTTCGCACATAATTCGATAAACAAGGTGACAAATAACCATTATCTAATGTTATGTTCGACCAAATAAGGTAAACGATTTTTCTATTTACTTTTACGCACATGGTTACATATATCTGTCTTAAAACTGACATATTTTGAAATGAAACTAAAAATAAATGAAAAAATCAAGAAAATCGAAAAACCTTTACAAGAAACACCCTCCAAAATCAACTATAAGTAATCAATTAAAATTCGAAACGAAATGTAACATCGCTTTTTGTATACAAACAATTCCAGTTCCATTTATCGGAACTCTTATCGAAATCCAATGGTATTTTAATTGCGCCCTTTCCTTATTCGCAATAAACTGTTTATTAGTGATTTCTTATATTTGCGGCGTGGTAAATGAAAAGAAATATTTGTTAATACCCTATTTTCCATGTATAATTATCCTGTTTGGTTTTGTGGGAGCCAGCGGATATTTAATTTTGATAAACGAGAAGATTCGTACAGCAGGGTATTATTGCGCTCTCGTGTATTGCGCGATAGTGATAATATCACTTCCAGGACTTTTTATATCATGTTGCGTGGTATATAGGAAACTCAATAAAATAATGAACAAGGAAAATAAATTGTTGTTTATAAAAACCAATTCTCTTCAAGTTCCGGAAGAAAGCTCACAATTTTCCGGATTTCGAAGTGATTGCGAAAGGATTGAGCTATTTGGCGATGATGCTGGAAATTTAGAAAACACTGAAAATATTGTTAGAAATGAAACATAATTATGCAACCAATTTTACGGCTTTGTATACAGAGTTAATAGATTTAAATTTAAAAAAAATTAATAAATTTCTTATCAAATTCTTTTTTAAAGCAGTTTAAAGATTTTTATAAAAAAAGTTAGTTTATATTTCAAAAACTACGATTAGTATAACTGAGGTTATGTAGATTTTTAACTGTCAAAAAGAAACGTTACTAACCTCACATCTATGTTTTAAGAGTATTAAAATTCAAATTAACACTATAATTATCAAAGTAGAAAAACCAGACTAGTTCTAGATTTTGGATAAAACACCATCACAGAGCCCAGATCTTAATCCTATTGTCAACATTCAAGAAGAAATTGAAATATTACGATATTAGAAACGTAATTGAGTTAAAAATAGCGTTGAACAGACTGTGTCTTATGTTAGCTAATTAAACACTAGTTCTATTATACAACTCTTTATTTAGAGTTCGTTACATCTTATAACCATCTTACTTGATCTTACTCAAGGTCCGTTGAGTAAACATACTCTATAAGGTTATCCAACTCCATATGAACACTGTTTTTATGAACGTATCCCCCCGCAAAAGCCTTGCTGTGACGTCATTGGAAGAATTGACATTTCTATGTTTTTATTTATACTGATTTATACAGTGTATTTCACTTAAGAAGCAATATATAAAAATATAAAAAAAAAGATATAAAATAAAATTAAAAAAATATTAAAATATAAAGCGAAATATTAACGGTTAAAATTTTATTATTTTTAGGTTATCCAACTTGACTCGGTTACCATGGTGATTAAGATCCAAATATTGCAGATGCTTGTTAAAATTAAAATTGAATTTAAGTTTTTTTAAGAAAAAAGTCTTATTTAATTGGTTTAAAAGGCCGTATTTAACTCAAAATTGGTTTATCTAGGGAATTATAAACAAGGTAAGTGGATTAAATCAAAAAAAAAAATTTTTAATTTATTACTCTTAATTAGAATCGATTTAAATTAATTATAATTAACGAATTTATTATGAATGCGAGATAATAGTAATGAATTCGAAATGTTTTAAAATTAATACAAATTAGGTTAGAATTGATAAAAAAATCGGAATAAAATTTTATTACTTTGAGGTTATCCAACTTGACTCGGTTACCATGGTGATTAAGATCCAAATTGACGTTGAGTTTAAGTTTTTTAATGAAAAACACATAATTAATTGGATTTAAAGGTTGTATTTAATTCAAAATGGGTAAATGGATGAAATTATAAGCAAGGTAAGTGGACTAAATCAAAAAAATTTTTTTTTAGATCAATTAAAATGTATAAGAATTTAGGGTTAAATAACAGTTAAAACTAGAACTAACACTATACCTAGAACTAGAAAGTTTTAGGTTTAGCCGGGCGTCTTAGACAAGAACTTAGAAAAGTCTAAAGACGCACGGCTAAACCCGAATATTTCTAGTTCTAGGTCTAGTGGTAGTTCTAGTTTTACACTAGCACTATCACTAGAACTAACACAAGACCTAGAATTAGAATCATTCGGTTTAGCCGTCTTGAGACACGGGGGAGTAAATCCGAACGTTTCTAGGTTTCGGTCTAGTGTTAGTTCTAGTGGCAGTAGTAGGTAGCGCTAAACTTTAATATTAATGAAAATGTCAACGTCAATTTTGACATATTTGTCATCTTCATTAAAAAACCTTTAAAACGAGTCCAAAGATGACACACTTATCTCAAAAAACAAAAAAGTTAGAATAAAAAACGTTAAACCCGAAGTTAGCAACAATGAAGATAGCAATTTAATTATTAAATATTAATACCAACCTTAATTTTTAATTTTTTTTATTGTATTTTTGTTTTTGTGATAAATTTTAACATTTTAACAATTTTAGACATTTCAAACCGGAAGTTGCTTATATATCAACTAATATTGGAATCATGTTTGGTCTCATTTTAAAGGATTTTTCACGACAATTACAAATATGTCAAAATTGACGTTGACATTTCTAACCGGAAGTTGACCATAACTTCATTAATATTGAAGATAAATATGTCGTGTTTGTACTCATTTTAAAGGATTTTTAATGAAGATTACCATCTACCTAACATCGTATACATACGTTCGAATATGCTTTTTGATATCTACTGCGATTAAAATGTCCTTTATCGTTCAGTTGTCGAACTGCAGAGATAACCAACATATCTTCTTTTGCTTTTACTCTTTTAAGTGAAATAAATCATCAAAAATATTTGAAATTTGTACAACCCTTCTTGAGTAATTCGTGATTTTCTAATATTTCGGTGGGTATTCGAATACGGATTTTGCATACTGTATATGTACAGAAAACCCTTTCTGTGTCCTCTTTTCCCCATCCTAATTGCCATCTCCCTTTGCTCTGTTATCTGATTTATGGAAGTTTCGGAAAGTTCATGATTGGCAAAAAAATGAATCAAATTTTACAGGCTTCTATTTAATTTTTTTTATTTTGGTTAATTTAACAAGTTAAAAAAATAAAATTAACTTAATTTTTTTAATAAACGACACAATTAAAAAAAAATCATTCACATAAATAAATAAAACATAAAATAAGAAAAACATTATAGATTTTCCTTTTTTATCTCATCTTCTTTATCGACTTCTCTTAAATTATAATAATCTTGAGTTATATTTTCTTCCTCAATTTTTTTGTTTTCGCTGTTATCTCCAATTAAAATATCAACGGATTGCTTATCGGACGGTTTTTTTGGATAAAAATCTGTACCTGTTGACGAAGATCCTTCTTGCCATGGACATTCAATAACGGCAGAACGAGTTGTTCTAGATTTAAAAGCGAATCTTTTTGTTCTAAAATAGTAAACCGGTAGATAAACTTTCCTCTTTAAACTTGAAATTAAATCGTTGTCATCAGAGTATAATTGGTTATCGTCGATTTTTACAAAACCACCGTTGTTAATCGATCTTTTTCGTCTCGCAAGTAAAGAAATATCACCTTCGGACCGAATTCCAGATGATGATGTGAATATTTTTAAACCGTCGTTTTTATCCTTTCGTAGATTTAAACAAGGATTTGTTAAAACTAATGTAAATAAGATGTTTGCGTATATTGTTATTATTACGCAGAGAAAATTCTAGAAAATATGTTTTATTTATTAAAAATTAATGTTTATATACTTTAGATTACCATTTTTTAATTTCTCTTTTATTCACCACAACACTATTTTAGTATGAAACGTTCGTGTATTAATGAGTAAATTTATTTTTTGCGCACTTTATATACTCGGTTAAGGCTTAATTAGTATTCGTTCTCTATCGATGCTAAATATTTATGTAAATATTAGAGTTAGAGTGAATGATTTTGGAGTGGAATAGATGACCCTATTGAAAGTTATTTAGAAAAAAAACTTAATCTACTGTTGATTTGCAAAAACATCATTTCTTTTATTTTATAATTTCCGAAACGAGTAAATTTGTTATAATATTAGTGTTAATTTTTATGTACAGCTTGGCAAATCTATCTTGGATAGAAAAGGTCAAATGCGCTCATTTTTCTGTTATACTTCATATGTAACAGTTCCCTTCTCAGTTCGTATACAGTGCCCAACAAAAGTATTTTATATGGGATTATGACTTAATTAGTCATAAGATCTACAACTTTATTTGTTAAAGTTGAGGCACCGCAATATGATGACCAGCTTCAAATTGGTATAATATTAATAATCATTGAGACTCGGCTGCACACGACCTCGCTTTAATTTCTAAAACATCTATAACTTCACCTTATTTATGAGAAGCTGTAATATTACGAGCTTATTGTATACTACAAAGTTGTGTTAAAGACATTTTAAAGATAGTGTAACTTGAAATGCTAGGTAATTCGACGAAGCCTTCTCCACTCGTACTTGACTTACTGGTCTTGTTGAACTAAAACTAGAACTAACACTAGACCTAGAACTTGAAAGTTTCGGGTTTAGCCGTGCGTCTGTAGACGCACGGCTAAACCTGAATGTTTCAAGTTCTAGGTCTAGTGTTAGTTCTAGTTTTACTTATTATTCAGCGATTTGTTGTTGTATATTTTTATTGAACTAAAAGTAGAACTAATACTAGAACTAGAAACATTTTGGTTTAGCCGTCTTTAGAGACGCACGGCTAAACACAAATGTTTTTAGTTCTAGTGGTAATGCTAAGTAGTGCTAGTTAGCACCAGATAGTGCTAGGTTGAATATTTTTATTGTCCTATACCTAGAAGTAACACTAGATCTTTAACTAGAAACATTTGGGTTTAGCCATTTTGAGAGACGCACGGCTTAAGCCGAAAGACATTTGAGGTTGACATTTTAAATCTGAAATTAGTTATAATATAATAGACAAATGGACAACTTCATGGTGTTCTTTTATGATGTATTCTTTATTAAAAAACCTTTAAAATGAGTCCAAACATGACGCACTTATCTCAAAAAACAAAAAAGTTTGAATAAAAAAACGTCAAACCCGAAGTTAGCAACAATAACAAAGATAGTAAATTCATTATTAAATATTAATACCAACCTTAATTTTTAATTTTTTTATTGTATTTTTGTTTTTGTGACAAATTGTATAAAAATTAAGAATTTATCAAAATGACATTAACATTTCAAACCGGAAGTTGCATGTTTGTACTCATTTTAAAAGATTTGCCACGACGATTACAAATATGTCACAATTGACGTTGACATACTTAACCGGAAGTTGACCATAATTTCATTAATATTGAAGATAAATATGTCGTGTTTGTACTCATTTTAAAGGATTTTTAATGAAGATTACAAATATGTCAAAATTGAGGTTGACATTTTAAATCTGAAGTTAGTTATCATATAATAGACAAATGGACAACTTCATGGTGTTCTTTTATGATGTATTCTTTATTAAAAAAGAACCATTAAAATGAGTCCAAACATGATGTTGCTAGATATCACTATGTTGTATATTTTTATTGCACTATCTTCAGACGCACGGCTAAACCCGAATTTTTCTAGTTCGCACTAAAACTAGAACTAACACTAGACCTAGAACTACAAAATTATTTTTCATTAAAGTTTTAATTGTTACTAAGAGTTAAATTGTTGTCTATTTTTACTGAAATAGAACTAACATTAGACCTAGAACTAGAATCATTCGGGTTTAGCCACATGTCTAAACACCGCTATGAATGTATTTTATATGGGATTAATAGTCAAAAGATCTACAACTTTATTTGATACAGTTGAGGTACCGCAATATGATGACCAGCTTCAAATAATATTAAAAATAATATTAATAATCATTGAGACTCGGCTGCACACGACCTTGGGTTAATTTCTCAAAACATCTATAACTTCACCTAATATGTATTTATGAGAAGCTGTAATATTATGAGCTTATTGTATACTACAACAAAGTTGTGTTAAAGACTTTTAAAGATAGTGTAACTTGGAAATGCTAGGTAATTCGAATAAGCCTTCTCCACTCGTACTTGACTTACTTGCCTTGTTGAACTAAAGCTAGAACTAACACTAGACCTAGAACTTGAAAGTTTCGGGCTTAGCCGTGCGTCCTCAGACGCACGGCTAAACCCGAATATTTTCAGTTCTAGGTCTAGTGTTAGTTCTAGTTTTACTTATTATTCAGCGCTTTGTTTTTGTATATTTTTATTGAACTAAAAGTAGAACTAATACTAGAACTAAAAACATTTGGGTTTAGCCGTCTTTAGAGACGCACGGCTAAACCCAAATGTTTTTAGTTCTAGTTTTAGTGGTAATGCTAGGTAGTGCTAGTTAGCACCAGATAGTAACACTAGATCTTTAACTAGAAACATTTGGGTTTAGCCATTTTGAGAGACGCAGGGCTTAAGCCAAAAGTTTCTAGTGTTAAGTTTCCACATGCATGGATTACTGGAACCAGTTTAGTTACATGTGGAAATAACAACAATCCATTGACACCAGTGAAGTTGATCGAACGTCTACTTTTTGGCGACAATAATAGTATTTGACCAACGGCTTATCTCACTTTTTTTTTATATTGTTTTTCTATACAACAAATTTTGTTTACAATATTATACCCTTTGTTGCATAATCGTTCATTGTAATCTTTTCATTTAATTATAATTATTACTAAGGCGATAATTAAAAATAAATCAAATTAATTTAATTTACACATAATATTCAAAATATCCCTTTTCATAACAATCAAGTAAACAATCTCTAACTCTTCGACAATATTCCCCGTGATTTTTTCCTTTATTTTTCCACTCGACTCCTAAATCTTCCAATTTTTTATTGCCGTCTCTTAAATTCGGAATTTCATTGGAATCTTTCGTAATAAATCCCAAAACCATTATACTATAATGCATACCAACGATTGAAAATCGCTTGATCTCTTCGTTTAATTGTGAAAGTGGTAAACACTTTTCGGGATTACTTCCCATTTCAATTATTTGCTGGCATAAATGATAATAATAAAACATTATCATATCGTTATAATATTTATCTCTTAATTCTTTTTCCGTAGTAGCGAATATGAAATAAGATAAATCACATGCTGGTGATCCATATCTACACAATTGATAATCTAAAATACAAACATCTTTAATGTTATTTTCATTATCATATAACCACAACATATTGTTGATCCAACTATCTCCATGTCCGATAACACCGTACTCCGTTGGTTTTGAAATGAGATCGTAATAAACTTCAGTAAAATTTTCACTTAATTTCTTAAACTTTTCATAAACTTCGATGTCACTTTCTTTATTTAATGTTTCTAAAGCTTGCTGCATTGAGTTATTAATATTTTCCGCTGCGAGTTCTTTGGCGTAAGCTTCAACCATTGAATCTTTAGTGTTTTCTCTTAATTCATTAAAAACTTCAATTTTCTGATCTTTTAGCGCATAAGAAACTGCATGAAATTTAGCGTACGTTTTTAACACGAATTTAACATGATTATAATCTAACGTTTGTTTGCGATTTCTCATAATATATCCGATCGATTTCATATCCTCCATTGCAAATGATTCACAATATGGTTCGAGGTAAGAAAAAATTATCTTTGGATAATGTTTAAATGGCGAAAGAAGTGATTTTTCTTTTTGAAAGCGTTCAAAAATTGGAAAAATTTTCGTGTAGACATAGATTTCTCGTGTATATAAAATTTCGATTTTAAGCACTTTTCTGAAAATATCTTGTGTTGGTGCTGTTTTTACTATCCAATTAAAAATGATTGGTTTATTATTTTTATCGATTCCTTTAATTACTAATTTGCCTATAAATCCTAAAAAATTATCTCCTACAGAACTCCCAGCTGATACATCAATCGTAAAATTTGTTATTCCTTTCGATTTTATTACTTCTTCGAGTTTAATTTGTATTTTTGGGAGGAGTTCACCCTCTTTTGTGATGAGATATTCTTCGTTATTATCATCTTTAAAAAATAAGTTATGCAACCAATTATAGAGTTCAATTTGAGTGGTTTCTTTTATCATTTTTATTTCAAGTGAACTTACTTGGACTACAAGAATCTCCTTTTTCCTTGACACACTTATTATCGCCGCTTAAACTTTCATTCAATGTTATCTAAAAGGAACTAAAAAAATTAATTTTTATCAATTTAACAATTTGAATAATTACATTATTTTTCTCCATTATTTATTATTAAAGTTTTAAATCAATTTTAGTAATAATTTGTTGATTTAGCGTTATTCTTTTGCCCACCAAACTAAAACTAAACTTTTATATTCATCTCCCGACTCATTTTCACTGAAACAGACCGAAGGTCATTGTAATTTGTGATGTAGCAAGAAAGGCAGTTAATGATATTTAATGTTTGAACAGAGAACCAGTAATAATGACTGTTTTTATCTTTTTTTTTTGTGATATCATTGTTGAAAGTAAGTTCAAATAAACAACTTTGTTATTGAAATAATTTTGCAATTAATTTAATTCCTTAATTATACTTTATTTTAATGTTAGTATTAAAAAGAGCATACAATTATCAAACAATTAGTCTATACTTCTCAGGAGTCGAAGAAAATACATGGAGCAAGGAGGGAGTAGAAATAATTATAACAAAGGAACTAAATAAAAGAGTAAATTCAAGAATTCTGGACTTGAGATTTGACCTAAACGGAAAGGTGAATATAATTCAAATTTACACACCAACGGAAGAAACTACGAATACGAGATTTTTAGTCAAGTCTGCAGAAAACTTTCGAAGTGGTATAGCTGTGTGCGTTCTAGCCGTCTTGAGAGACTTGAGGCTAAATCCAAACAAATTATTTACCCTACGCTTTATCGATTTACGTATCCGCAACAGATTTTCTGGAGCTTCTTTAAAATAATCGGCGGATAATTGTGTTTGCTTATATTTCATATACCATGTCTTCATGTGCAGTTGTTCATCGATAGGACTAACATCAAATTCTTCATAGGTGAAGTAGGTTTCGTTAGGTTTTCGTGTAGGTCCTTATGTCTCATATAACCAAACAATGTTTCCGGCTGATACCCCAATTTTCTTGCTTCATCACAAAACATTAAGGATGTTGGTAGACAGGCTCCAAAATAATGTTGCCTTATCAATTCTTGGGCAATTATACAGGGTCATCCACGACGACCGTCCATTAGAACTTTACAGGGTTGTGGCCAATACAAAAATTTGAAGATTCAGATTTAAGTATTATCAATTGCGTTCTCTTCGACTAAAATATTTTCAAATATCTAACACTTCCGGTTATACCGGAAGTCGCCACCTACTTTATTTTTTTAAATGGAACACTATATATTTTTACATATTTGGATTTGTCTGTTTTCAAGGTTTATGAATAACTTTACTTTTTGCAATTTGATTCGGCCGTTCTCGAGTTATTCGAATTTTTCTAGAAAAATCTGCTCCAGCAGACATTTGTTAAAAAAATCAGAGAACACTCGATTTTTGGGATATCAATTTAGGATTCAGAACATGCTTAAGCAACATGATGGAGTATGTTTTGGTGCCGAGTACGGCTGTCTAGATCGTTTGGTCACTTCACTATGGCACGTTAACTTTTCGAAATTTGGAAATACCATAACTTCATTTTTTTAAATGGCACCCCCCATATTTTATTACTTAGTCGTCTTCGGTGTCTCATTTTACATCTTTTATATCCCATATGTCCTATACCTAACATTTATAGTTTAGGAGATAATTAGGGTT